TAACGAGGGAACAGATTTACAAGTGACAAAATTGTTTCGTCAGAGGGGGAGGGGACAAATTTCAATTTTGTTCTATCCTCATGGACAAACTTGTTTCCTGTTTCGTGGACAAGACATTTGTCCCAGCGAGTGGACGTTTAAATCCGTCCCCTTTTTCGCAACAAATTTGTTTCCAACGAGGGGACAATTTATTCAAGGAACATTTCGTCCCTTCCAATGACACAATTTGTCTTTAAAATGACACGTTTTTGTCCACAGATCTCTTGTATGCGGCTATAGACGAACATTTTGTTGCTAGTTTAAGGTACAGAAAAAAGTTCCTTTACATTTAGAGTGTAAATTTAAGACAGCCTATTCTTTGTTCGTGTTCGTCAATTAATTCCAAGTTAATACAGAGTGATTGTAATTTTACAATTTCAAATTATAATTTTACAGCGCACAGTTCACGGAAAATGTTTTCTGTAACTCTTACAAGTTTTTCTCACACACCGAGTGGTTGTTCATATGTTCACTTTCTTTTTGTTTTTGTTTTTTTCCGTCCCCTCCGAGTTGTTTGTCGTCTTCGCCGCGGGGCGCGTAGTTCCTCACTCACCTGCGCGAGGCAGACGCCGTCCTCGCCGTCCGGGCTGCAGGCGGCGGTGAGCGGCGGCCGGCCGGGCACGCTGGCGTGCAGCACGATGCACACGCGCTGCTGGCGGGCCGCGTGCTGCTGGCGCGCCGCCGGGTCGCCGCCCGTGTGGAACAGCACGCGCAGCACGGGCTGGTCGCGCGCCACGTCCGCGCGCACCATGTGCGCCGACATGTCCAGGTGGCGCGCCACGCCCAGCGCAGAGATGTTGAGCGGCGCGTCCTGCGGGGACAAGGGTGCACAAATGTGTTTATCAATGTTTCAAAATGGCATAAATGATCTTAATCTTAACCTTCTCTTTTTTTTAAATGTCATTTACAATGCACTGCAAAGGAGCGCCAGTGTTTAAAAAACCGCTTTTGCAGTAAAAAAAATGCAGGGTGTCGAGCGGTGAACAAATATTTAATTCAAGGGTTTTTCCCGGGTTTTCCCCGGGCAAAATCGTCAAAATTCAAGGGTTTTAGAGGGCTTTTTGGACACAAAAATTTGCTCATAGGGGTTAGTTTTCTTAACAATAGTTCCAAAATCATATCATGAAAAGGGTTGGTCCATATCTACAGAGCAGGAATGGACACAAAAAAAGGCGAGGCGCGCACAGAGCGTTGCAATACGGAGATCAGCTGCTCGGTGACGAGGACTCTGCGAACTTTTTCCCGGGTTTGAGCAAAATTAAAGGGTTTTTCCCGGGTTTTCAAGGATTCCAGGGTCGCTCGACACCCTGAATGTAATTCCCTAATAAACAGACTGATGACAGTTTCCGCATATACCTCCACGTTTCCCACATCTCCATTACACGTACACGCGCAGTTCTGCAGACGCCGCTCCGCCGTGCGCGGATATTAATCTAATTAAGCGCATAAAGGGGGAAAGGCAGGGAGCGCACACTCACTCAGCTACACTGTAAAAATTCTTTGTCACGATGACGAAAATACCATGGCTAATTTTTAGTACAGGGGTGTCGTCATGGGTTTTTTCGTCACATGATTAAGGTTTTCTCGTCACCGTGACGAGAAAATTCGTGACGACAGCCCTGTACTAAAAATTAGCCATGGTATTTTCGTCATCGTGACAAAGAATTTTTACAGTGATACCTCTCCATTTCTTTTTTCGTTCTTTTCTATCTACCCTTGTTTCTCCTCCCTTTCCCCCTCCCCCTTCGCTACCCATATTTCGCACAGCATGTCCCTCACGTGAATCATTTTCTGGATTTGGGCAAATCGTACGGTACAGCGTTGCTGGCGCCGCTGGCTGGGGTTGGGAGTATCATTAGCTGAGACCCGGAAGGAAATGTCTACCCCCTTTTCTCTCTTTCCGACCGTCTCTCTCTCTCTCTCTCTCTCTCTCTCTCTCTCTCTCTCTCTCCCCTCTCACTCGCGCAAACCACCCTCTTCTCTGTGCCGGTGACCACAAGGAGGCAGACCGGACTCTGGTTTAGAAAAAGGCGGAACATTAGAACAAGTTTAATTATGGAAAACGTTTGGGCTTGGCTCGGGTGGTGGGTCTGCGGCTCTCGAGCCCTGCTTCTACCGCTCCTCCTCCTCCTCCTCCTCCTCCACCTCTCTACCCCTCTCCCACTCCCTCACTTCCTACTTCTCTCTCCCTTCGCCCTGCTGGTTGCGCGAATGGATTGAAACACTCATCACGCTTAATGGAGACTAGAGGCGGCGTGGAGTCTTATAGGAATTAACTTCGTCAGATATGGTTCCATCGAACGCGTCATCCTCCATCACGCCTCGCAGAGGTACTTACCGGCGCGACTCCGGGGAGCTGCTCGATGGGGTCCGGGACGATGTACCTGGCGGGCACGGTCTGCTTGGTGGAGAAGGGGCCGTACGAGGCGCGCACCGACACCGGCTCCGCCGTCTGGAACACCGTGAACCGGTCCACCGAGAGGACGGAGCCGGCGCCCGGCGGGGAGCCGACACCGAGGACGCCGCCGCCACCGCCGCCCTCGTCGCCATCCTGGTCAGGGTCGCCGACGATGGAGGTGCTGCCGGTTATGCCGGCCGCGGCAGCCGCCGCCGCCGCGGCCGCCGCCCCAGCCCCCGCCGCCCCCGCGCTCGCCAGCGGGTAGGAGCGCGGGATCTGCTTGAGGAAGAAGCCGCCATCCTTGTTCTCAAAGTGGACCTCGACCGTCCCGGCCGCGCCTGCAACACACAGAAGACCAGGCACAGTGAGTAAACATATCAGAGGAAAAGTTACTTTTTATCGAAACTACACATGGTGACGTTCAAACAAATTCGCGAGAATTTGTTCTGCAGATGTAAACAAAACAGTTTCTCAGGTGGGAAGAAAACGGGTTTGGAGAGTCTGGAGTGGATGATAGGCCTCTGGAGGGGGTCCGGAAACAGAAGCAAAACAGCGACGCTAATCTGTTAGGACGCCGCCGCAGCAGCCGCGCCACGCGCTCCGCCACGTCGCCAGGAAGTAGGAAAAGAACCAGAAACGGAAAGATAACAGCGCCTGGCGGAGAGCCAGGTATAACGCCCGTTAGTTTACCTTCCTTTAATATTTAAGGCCCTCCTGCACCTCCTCCAGGACTGCGTTGCAATATTTACGGCCCTGTTTGTAGCCTGGAATTCGTCCGGACGCCTTCGCCCAGCCGATGGCGTAAACGGGGCAGGGCGAGAGGTTGGGTGAGGGTGGGGGCTGTGCGGGGACCGACCGGAAGTCTAAAAGTCTGATTCCTTGCACCGCTCTTCTCTCAGGGCCGGAAGTCTGAAAGTCTAGCTCCTGCACCGCGTTCTTCCTTCTCTCCGGGACGGGATAAACCCTCCGAGACATGATTCGTAATGCCGCCCGCCGTAAAATGTTATTGCACAGCATTCGGCGGCGGCCATGGAGTCAGCGGCCATGGAGATGGGATGAGATTGAACTCATCAGTGCATTCTGTGCACGGCCCCTTGGATTCCGCACGATCGGAGAAACGGGGGG